GGGTTGTAGGGTTTAGGTGTTTAGGGTTTAGGGGTTTAGGGTTTAGGGTTAGGCTCAAACCCACACGCCGCCACTCAAAGACGAAGGCCCCAACCGGGGTCTTAATCCGACTGCTGCAAACCTCCACCAAGACAGGGGCCACAATTATTGAGAGAAGGGTCTTGGGGGACATTCTACGGTGTTCAGAATTGGGAGCCCCAAACCAATCCTAAACCCTAAACCCTGAACACCTAAACACCTAAACCCTACTATTTTAGGCCTCGATCCTACGTAGTTTATGACTCAGGGCCCCCTACTGTAGGGGCCTTAATGATTAGAATTGGGTTTGGGGTGTGATATACTATAATTATAATAAGGAACCCCCAACCCTAAACCCTAAACCCTAAACCCCTAATCCCTAAACCCTAAACCCTAAACCCTATTCTAATCATTAAGGCCCCTACATTACCCAAAGCACGAAAGCCCTGGAGACTGCCTCAAAGCCCCCCCAAAAAGGGTTCCTTTGTTAAGGGATCCTCTGAGGATTCCTTTAAGGGCCTCTGCATTTAGGGGTTTGGGGTTTAGGGGTTTAGGGTATTAGGGTTTAGGGTTTATGGGTTTAGGGGTTTAGGGGTTCAGGGTTTAGGGGTTTTTTCGGGTTTAGGGTGTTGGGGGTATGTAGTATGAAGACAGCAGCTGACAGCCGCAATCCCGTGTTCATGATTCGAGCTGGCATTGAAGCAAGAGTTCTAAACGTGCCACGAGTCGCGCAGAAGCAAAAAAACATAGGATAGCAGGCACGACGTTCAAGCAAAGAAAGAGCACATCCAATCAACTAATCACATAGGCACAAGCCTCACCAGTCCATCAAACACAGAAGTGGTCTCAACATTCATCCTACCCAGATGGTCTAAACCCGAAACCCTAAACCTAAAGCCCTAAACCACGGCGGAGGAGTCGGGAGGAGCGTGCCGACCAGTAAAGCTTGGCCCCTTCCCGGATGAAGATTGCCATGTCGGGGCCACAGATACGCCGGGGCACCCTAAACCCTAAAGCCTTAAAGCTTAGGGTTTAGGGTAATCTTCAGCTCTACACATTTCGAAGTGTCTTTAGCCTCCAGTTTTTGTACATTTAAAAAACGATGGTTGTAGGGCTTGCGTGACACCGGGATAGTCTCAGCAACACCAACAGTTCGGGATTTGGGCGTAGGAGGTCTTTGCAACGCTCCGTTTCGGAGATCCGTTCGCCAAGCGTAAAGCATGACCCTCCCCACCCCAAGTGAACAGCGGCGATGAGCGAAGCGTGACAGCGCGCGATTGTGAGCTCTTCTTCTGTCGTCCTGGAGTCGTCCTACGGTAGTCGTCGCGCTCGTAATCGTCAAACCGTTGATGATATAAATCCTGCATTACTTTTAGGACCCTAAACTATAGGAATTATGGTATATTCCTTATTATGGGTAATGCAGGATTTATACCATCAACCGTAGTGGTGGTATTACTTGCAGCAGCAGCAGCAGCAGTAGCAGCAGCAGTGGCCGAGGCAGCGGTGGTGAGTAGTGGTAGCAACCCTAAACCCTAAGCCCTAAACGCTAAACCCTAAAGCAATGTAGGAACCTGCATAAGAAGCCCAGGCTCCCCGATATACTGGGATCCCTAGAAAGAACCATCAGGGTTCCCAAAAATCTTTTTGTAGGTCCCTTAATAAACAGAACCCTAAAGGGGATCCTTGTTCAGAGAGTGTAGTGGTGGTAGGTTTGTGGAGGATTCAGAGGTTGAGTCCGTCGAGGATGGAGCCTTGTGCCAGTGCGTGCATTTAGGCTCCAGTAGGGTAGTTTTCTAAAATAGGGGGTCCCTTGTAGGGTCCTTTTTTTAAAAGTGCCGTACTATATTGGGGAAACTAAAACAGGGACCCGAATTTAGAGAACGACCCAGGAGTGTCTATAAACCCTAAACCCTAAACCCTAAACCCTAAACCTGTCTATAAGGGATCTAGAAGATCTTGGGGGGACAAGTAGTCAACCCTGAAGAACCTACCTTTTTCTGAGGGCCTATGCAAGGAAATCATAGTAAGGAGCCCTGAAAAGGTAGGTTCTTGAGGGCTCAGGTAAACCCTAAACCCCCTAAACCCTAAACCCTAAACCCCCTGAGCCCTAAACCCTAAACCCTAAACCCCCTGAGCCCTAAACCCGAAACCCTGTGAGCCTTTAGCTGTTGAGTTTCAGGCTTTGGGCGCTTTTTGGGATCATGGGTTCTTGGAGACATCTCTTTTGAGGACTCTGCGGGTGCCTTATAAACCCCCCAAACCCGACAACCCGAAACCCCAAAAGCCCTGAATTAAAACCGCCAGGGTTTAGGGTTTAGGCTTTAGGAATTAGGATTTCGGCTTTAGGCTTTAGGGTTTAGGCTTTAGGCTTTAGGGTTTAGGGAAGCCCATAAGCCTAAATCCCCGAGCCCTGAAGCCCTGAAGCCCTGAAGCCCTACAGCCCTGCTAAGGACCAGTGCTATGTCGGCATGGCAAAGCCTTCTGGAGGATCAGGCTCCTTCTACCATGATGGCGCTTCCTACCACCATGGCGGCTCCTCAGTAGCCGCATGAGTGCTTAGGGTTTAGGGTTTAGGGTTCTGCATTTCTTACACTTTCTGGTGGTGATATTTTCATTCCTTCTTGAGCTGCAAGTTTACACTTTGGGGCTCATCAGCTCAGCAACTAAGGCTCCTACTATCACGACGGCTCCTACTACCACCACGGAGCCGAGCCCTACTTGGGCATGGGTGACTCCTACCATGGTGGCGCCTCTTACTCCCACTCCTATGGAGGCGCCTACCATGATGGTGGCCTCCATCATGGTGGCTACTACCATGGGGGCTCTTCCTACTCCATGGGAGGTCATGGTGGCTCTTCCTACACCGTGGGGGGCTCCTACCACCACGGTGGCTCCTCATACTACCAGCATGGCGGCCACTACTCCTACCACTCTTCTGGTGGCCACTCGTACAAACTCGGGGGCCACTACAAAATGCGCGGTTCCTACGGCGCTCACCACGCTGCTTGCCTAAACGGTAGCTATTTTGCTCGAAACCTTAAACTCGAGGCGTAAGATCTAAACGACAAAACTTCTTAGGTGCTCTAGGGGTTTTTAGGGGGTTTGCAGGGTTTTGAGGGGGTTTTCAGAGCTTTTAGGGGTTTCAAGTTTAGGGTTTAGGCGGGTCCAGCCTATTCTGTTTGAGGGTGTTTTTAGGGGATCGGCTCTTGGGTTCCGTGAACGCTGATTTAGGGCTTAGGGTTTAGGGTTGAGGGTCTAGGGTTTAGGGTTGAGGGTTTCAGTTTAGGGTTTAGGGTTGAGGGTTTAGGGCTTTAGGGTTGAGAGTTTAGGGTTTAGGGTTGAGGGTTTAGGGCTTTAGGGTTTAGGGTTTAGGGTTTAGGTTGACGAAGTACGCAGATAGTAACACGCAAACCTACCCTAAACCCTAAACCTAAACCCCCCTCCTGATCCTGTAGCACCTGTAAAACCCTGAAACCGAAAGACGAAACACACCCTTAACCCTGATCCCCAAACCCCAAATCCTAATCCCAATGCCATAAGCCCTAGTTCACCCCCCAAACCTTTCAACCGTAATCCCTGAACGCAAATCCCTCAACCCTAAACCCTAAACCTTTAGTCCCTAAACGCAAATCCCTAAACCCTAAACCCTAAACCTTAATCCCCAAACACGAATCCCTGAACCCTGAACCCGGCCTTTGTCGGAGACCTCCAGGAGCTCAGACTCAGCAAACAAGCTCATGGAAGGCTCCAAGAGAGCCCTATGGGGTTTAGGGTTTAGGGTTTAGGGATTTAAGTGTTTAGGGTTTAGGGTTNNTTAGGGTTTAGGGCGTATAGGGTTGACCCGGCCGGTTGACCCTAAACCCGGTCATTTCGGAATATACCCGTGGACTACATAAGGCGGAAATTCTGGTCTACGCTAGGGTATATCTTGGAGTAAAGGGTTAAAGCAGCAAAAGGGCTCTCGTGTTTCTGCCAACTCACTGTGAAGTCAGCTTTTCATCTTCCTTCTCTGTAGAGCATCCTGACCGAAGCATCACTGCTGCTTCAAAAGCTAGTCACTATCGCTTTAGGGTTTCCTTCGGGGTTCAGGGGCTCAGCACTACTTCTAATCCTATGGGT